ACTGAAACATTTCTGACGCAGACATGTCAATACGAGGAAGCTCGGAATAACCGGTGCCGCCCTGAAAATCAGACGCCGGGTCACGGCGCGGGGGCTGCGCTGTCTCCGTTCTGCTGACTGACTGTGGGGCTTTGGCCAGAGGCTTAAATCTCCCTGCTTCCGCTGCTTACACCTGCTCCTGCAAAGATGGTCTCAGCTCACACAGGCCAGCACTTTTCTGAATAGTGCTGGGCAAACAACCGGCGCAGTGAGCTGTTATTGTTTTTAGGTGTTTTTATGATTAAGAGAAAATAACATGTCCAAAAATAGCTGTATATTAGTCGATCACAAGAGCAGTCTGCAAACATTTCTCATCCTACACTTTTTGGGGTAAACTGGATTTTAAGTGCTTTTAGGCCCATTATCATCCTAAGTGCGTAGGGACCTCCTTTCACCTAAAACACACTTGCAATTTATTATACAGAGATCCTGTTTCTCCTCTGTATGTATATTACCGGTTTGCTATTTACACTCAAAATCATAGAAGAAAATGACATTTGTTGTTGATGCAATGGCCACAAAGTCCTCAACAGGGAGACTGAGAGGTGGAGAGCTGGGCCCTCCCATCAACCTGTTTTCAACTGTAACTCCTTATTTGAAAAAGAAGAAACAAAAAAGTTGGTTGGTGTCAAAAACTAGGCCCCAGAAAATAGCATGTTCCCATTTCTAGGTAACGGCGCCTCCTCGTCACCCGCTGTCATGACACTTGAGGGCAGTACCATCCTTGTGAAGGGCTCCTTCAGCCCATGGGCAGGCGGCGCCCCAGAAATGGCCCGTGTCTGTTTGATTAACCTTTTCGGTTTTTAATTAGGTTACTCAGAGTTCCAGATGCAACAGGTTCCTGGCTAGACAGGTGACGATGGTGCATGACATCAGGATGACTGTCCAACCCCATTGCCCTGGTACCCCCCCCCAACCTGTGCCAGGGCTCGCCCTCCTCCCATTGACTTAGCAAAATATCCTCCCGCCCAGCACTGAGCTAATTCACAGGTTCAGATGGTTCATGGGGTCCCTGCAGAGAAGGCAGCTTGGTACCTCAGTGTTATCCCCGCACAGACACGCAACCTTGATCCCAGGCACATGGACCAGGCCGCAGCTTTGCATGAGGTCCTCCAAATATACAAAACCACATAAAAACAACTGTCAAACATTCTTTTCAAAAAAACCCTTCAATCTACCTTTCAAGCTTAAGGAAAACACGATCGTTTTGTGTGTTAGCAAGCCACCGAGCGGTTCACAGCCCACTGCTGCTTGTGCGGACGGACCCTGGGCGAGACCACCTCCCGATGGAACTCCCTCTCCCCAATAAATCGGATCCCCCCACGAGCGGCTTCCCTGAAACTACAGGTTTCCCATCAGCCCAGCCAACTGCCGGCGGCGGTAGCACGCTCTTTGGCTCGAAGTCCTTCTGTCAGTTACCGGAGTGGTGGGTGGCATGAGAGGAGCTCTCCTGCCGGTGCCGGTTCCCCAGGCTTTAAGGCGAAGGCTCTGCACTGTCAGAGACACACAGCCACTTCCCTCTCCACGCAGCCTCTTGGAGGGGAGGCCTGTGCCACGTCCACGGAGCCAAAACCTTATTTCAGGCCCAAGGTGGCCCAGGCCAGGCCCGAGAGTTCAGTAGAGGCCAGACTGGAGAGCTGACCAAGGGACCGACAGACAGACGGATGGGTAAGAGCAGAGGACCAGCTATCAGCAGCTCCTTACTGTGTTTCTACCTCCGCCACCCGCAATTCCTTTCAATCTGGGCGAATAATTCGGTTGCCCCGGGGCTGCTTTCCTGTCTCTGTGACACCGTCGGGCCCTCAGGCCCCTGCCAGCTCCCATGGGCTTTGCCTTTGTGAAATGAGAGACCTTTTCAAAAAAGCATTTGACCTGGCAATGCCAGGGCCGTTTGGCAGGAATTACCCAGAATTCAGAGCACGGAAATGAAGAAGGGACAGTGGAGGTCTCACTACCCCCTAGATTTGGCATTGCCGGGGGTGGCGGCGTCCTGGTCTACACACAATAGCCTCTCTGGACATTCCGTCAGAAGTGACTGTGAAGCATTCACGACAGCCCAGACGCCGAAGCTACCCGAGTGCCTCCCGATGGACAAGGGGGCAGAGAAAATGTAGTGTGTGTGTATTTATCTTACACAATGGAATATTACTCAGCCATAAAAAGGAGGAAAGCCCAACATGGCTGGGCCTCCAGGGCATCATGCTAAGTGAGAGAACTGAGCCGGAGAAGGGCAGGGACTGGGTGATCTCGCTCACGGGCGGAATCTGAAAACCTGAACACTCAGAAATGGAGAACAGACTGCTGGCTGCCGGGGCCGGGGCGGGGAGGAAATGGGGGAAGCTGGCCAAAGGGCACACACCTCCGGTTGTGGGAGCAGGTCCTGGGGACGTGGGGACTGCAGGGAACAGGACTGCACTCGGCCCTGGGGCGCGCCTAACTGCTCACACCGTGAAGGTTCTCGGCAAACTGTAACTATGTGAGGGGTGGGCGTGTTAACTGATCTTACTGTGACAACCTTTTCACAATACATTGTGTACGGAGTCATGTGGTAACCCTTAAACTGATACACTGTCCCAGTTATAGCTCAGTAAAGCTGGAAAAAAGGGTTAACATGCTCTTTTTAAAAAAGTGGCGGTGAGCACAGTTTCATCAAAAAGAAGTATTTCCCACCTTGAATCAAGGCAGGCAAATAAGAGGAAAACTGCACACTAAATCGAGAAGCTGTGCTCCGCCCCCGGCCCCGCCCCTGCCACAGAGCTGGAGAGAAAAGCCGGCATGTACTCCAGTGACCTGGGAGTCTACGTGCCTTTGGCTTCTTTCTAGAAGCCACTTGTGAAAAATGTGAGACTATCTACCTGAGCCTAAAACACCTCTTCATATCATGCACATAATTATTCATTTAATTTAATTTAATTTAATTTTCCCTGACCCTAAATTCCACTGGGCAGGAAAGGCTCCATGTGGATGGGCCGCTGGCCACTGCAGCTGTGAACTTTCCCCCTCTCACGGGGGTTTCTTAAGAGTCACAGTGCCCACTAGTTTCTGAATCTCAGCCACCGCATAGGTGCTTTGAACATCACAGAAGATACTAGCTAGGGGGCAAAACCTGCCCTGTTTTATATGTGGGAGGGCAGAAGTCGGGGTACATACAATACAAGGGGTCACGAGGTGTAGGCTTGTTCCTCCAGGAACTGTTGGTGAAGACAGACCCTACAGCCCTGAGTGTGCCTTTCTAACTAAAATAGTGCCCCTCACAGTCGATTTCCTTACACGTCACAGCTGCTCCCTGCCCCGCTCCCCACCCCGGGGCCTGGCTACACTCTAAGCCTGCTTCCTCTTGGGCCCGCCACAGACAGCCCAAGGCGCCTGCCGTGTTTAAAGCAGGGCCACTCCCCGTCCTCAGTTCGCCATCCCTACTGTGGAGACCTACGAAGCGGCCACAGTTGTTCTGGGTGCGGGTGTCACTGTGTGTTCCTCTGCGTCTGGCCTGCTTTTCGCAGATCAATTGGAGTTGGGGTTTGCTGCCGGGTCTCAGAATTTCCTGAGTCTGGGCAGGGCCAGGGAAAGGTGGCAGGGAAAAGTCGGTCAGATGGGGACAGCATCATGGAGTGTGGGAGATGGGACCCAGGGGCTCTTCCCGCTCCGGGACCTTGAGAAAGCCGAGGCCACCCCTGGGCGGTTCCTGTAAGTGGTCGGCCAGCCAGGAGGCTGTGGTCAGGACAGCAGGAAAGACTGCTTCAAGGTTCCCTGATCTCGGGGTGACATGCAGAGGCAGCGCCTCGCCCCAGGGGTGCCCCCACAGTGAGGAAGTGCTCACTGGGACAGGCCCCCAGCAAAGCCAGGGAGCCGCAGGTGGGGACCTCTCCAGGGCTGGTTCTCTGCCCCAGGCACGCTCCCTCCCCTCCTCCACAGAAGCCTCACTGCTCTCCCGTGTTGCTGATGAGGAGCAGAGGGCCGGATGGGCACTTGCAGCGGGGTACGCGCCTGAGCCAGAACTGTACTCCGCTCGCTGCCGGAGCCTGGACCCTCTGTCTCTGCGCCCCACACCCTGGCCTCCCTGCATCTCCACCTCCAGGAGCAGCAGGGAGCCCTGCGTTTGAACCTCTCCCTGCTGAGAAGAGAGGATGAGCTTCCCGCTGGGGACCCCACTATGGTTTGGGGGCACACAGGTGCCGGGCAGGGCCGTACGGCTCCCTCTACGGATCGGGGACTGTGACGCAGCCTGTGTCCCCGGGAAGGGTGTGGTTTGGAAAAGAGTGCCACTCGTGTTTACTCAAAGATAGTCATTAAGTCACCAGGAAGACACCCTTCTGCAGACTAAACAACCCGGCTCCGTTTTAGAAACCTGCCCTCATCGGAGCCGTTTTTCTACGGCGCCATCTTTCTATATTAACTGGCTTCCCACCCAGGCCTCCTCCCCCTCCCACACTCCGCTTTGAACAATCCTGTAATAAGATTCCGAGCCGTGCCGCAGAAAGAAAACGGTCATTTTCATAGTTTTCTTCTCCAGCCTCAACAGAGGAATAAAAGGCCAGCGAGAATGCTAATCAGGCCCTCGCGGCCCACTCAGACCCTCGGGCCTTTTTTTGGCCACCCCTGTGCCTGTGCTGTCTTCCACTCGCTGTTTGTTTCTGAGCCTGTTGCATTCCACCACGAAGCGGAGGCTGGTCCTTAGCCTCACACAGCCCGAAAGGGTCCCACCATGCACTTGGGTCAGCCTGGTCTCCTGCGGTCCTCTAAGGGGTGCTTCGGCGAGGGCAGAGTGCTCAGAGGCACCTCCGAGGAGCCAGAGCATCCGCGGTAAAACTCTTTCTCCCCCCAGAGGCCTGACACCCGCCTCCGGCAGAGGTTTGAGCCACCTTCGAGGGACGCCAGTCCAACCCAAGCATTGCAAAGACACTGTCCCTGGTGCCTGAGGGTGCCAGCCCCATGGTGTGCCAGCCCCGAGGGGGCCCACTTACTTCGAGGTTCTCGGGGTCCATCCACGGTGATTTTGATGGCTCTGTGGTAGGTGGCCACTTGCGGTGGGTTTGTGAAGACGGTGATGGTCAGGGTGAAGCTCTTCCCTGTTGGACACAAAAGGACATGGAGGAATGAGGGGCAGCCCACAGTCTGCCGGGTCAGCGACCATGAACCCACTCCTGCCCTTGAACTGGAGGAGGTGCCGGGCTTCAGCACAAGCTACTGGCTTTCCAATAGGCCCTTGAGTTTGGCTTTGCTTAGACTCTGAAATGTACGCTTGTGCTGTTTGTCCGGATCTAACACTTCACATAGTGACGTGGCTTTGAGTCATCAATAGATGACACAGGATCGATAGATTTGCATTTGTTTCCTTTCGAGTCAAGACCCCAGGGGATGCTGTCCCCTCCTCCCCTGGCCTGTTTCCCCTTTTACACACTTGGGCCAAAACAGGGGTAAAAGACACCGGCTCTGCCTTCCCCTTGCCGGTGGTCTACTCTGCTGAGGAGGAAGAAAGAATTCCTAAGTTTGAGGCTAAACTAAAATTATTCCCTCTATTTCAAAAATACAAAATGCACATTAATTTTAAATATTATTTTTAAATGCCAGGTGGTGTTAGAGACACGGAAGGGACTGGCCAAATGAAATTCGCAGTCCGCACCGGACTTGACGGTGTGTAGCCGACGGACTGAGACTCAGGAGGCTCTGCCCACATATCTGTGTGCGTGACTGTCTGTCTGGACATCTCACTCACACTTACTCCCTGGGGCCAGCTCCCTCACCCAGAGGGCGCACGTGGAACTTTTCCCACCCGACACGTTGGAGGGGAGGTTAAAGGGGTCTCTGTGAGTAAGGCCATCAGAACTGTATCCTGTGCACAGTTTCTGAGGGTGTGAGTGTATGTTGTGCTCACTTTTATTATTTCTCTTTCTCTGTTTTCCATAACAGGACCCTCGGGTCTGACCGGGCACGGCGGTCAGACCTTCTGCAACATAATGATGCTCCATCCAACAGTTTCTCCTCTTAATCATGAAGCATAAAATGCAACCAGGAAGAAATGCAAGGAAAACCAAACACGCCTGCCTAGTCCCGTGTTCACGCCCAACACCACCCCAAACACCACCCTGTCCTCCTTCCCCACGTGGAAACGAGCACAGTGACAGCAGCTGCCGGCACATTCCACGCAGAAGCCTCCAGAGAGAGCTCAGTGAGCGCACCTTTGGCCACGGCAACCCAGCAGTTCCTGATCATGCAAAACCCCACCCAACAGTCCCCAAGGGCTGGCGTTCTGTCTATGTAAAGCCTATGGCAAGAACAATGCTAAGTGATAGATGGTGAAAGCTGCTTTATAGCCAAGGTCACGGCCGGCCTGACAGGCAGGGTGAGGGGGGCACCAGGGGCCAGAGCAGTGAGGGAACCGGCCAGAGGCCCAGGGCCCCAGCTCAGCTTCCCGGCCAGCTGGCCTTCTCTGCGGGGACCTGGGGAATCATCATTTGGCCTTTAGAGATTTGCCATCTTCAGCACATCCTTCAAATGTCACCTGGTGACGGCCCCACTTGTCTTCTACGCTGGCATTGTGCCGATGTGGAGGGGTGGGCAGGAGAGGCTGCAGGCCAGGCCCAGCGAGGGGGTCGGCGAGTGGAGGCGAGCTCCCGGACTGACGGCCTATCTCGCATTTGTGGGTGGCTTTCGAAGAACTGTCCAGAGGAGCGGAGGCGGCTGCAGCCCTGGGAGCGGCCCATCCCCACGGTCCTCTGAGCCTTCTGGCCAGCCTGCCCCTCTCCGTTAACAACCTGCCAGAGCTACTACCGCTGCCATTGAGCCTGAATCCCACTGCCAGCACTTAGACTTCCTCACTGCCCAGACTACCCCTCAGAAGCCACGGCATGGCTGCCCTGCACGCTTTCTTCCTCCAGCCACCTCCCGGGCCCCCGGCCCCGGCCCCTGATCACTCTCCGGGTGTCACATCTTCCAGGTGGGCTTCCCCGAGACTAGAGCCCCATCTGTGGCTGTTTGGGGCTGCTTGGGACGTAGTCTTCCCCGTTGAGTGACCAGCAGGCTTTGTGGGATGAGGCTCATTGCTGCCAGGCCTGAGGACAACGGTCATGTTCTATATCCACTGTGCCCCCCACATGAAGGTGAGAAAGGGGGGCAGTGGAATGGGCTTCTGGTGGGGGGTCGGGTTGGGGGGAGGTTCAGAGAGCTCATATGAGTGAATCCATCCTGGCTCTATCCAGGGCCCAATTTTTGAGGGCGTGTCATGAAAAAGGAAGGGGCACAAGCCACGAATGATGACACTGCCCCAGTGACTGACCAGGTGTGTGTGTAGGGGGGGTCGGGGGGGCACAGGAGTGGGTGGGAGTTAGGGAGCTTGAGCTCATGTACAAGTTGTTTGACTCCGGATCTCAGTTTCCTGGTCTGTCCTGTGAGGGGGTCCCTGGGCCACTTCCACAGTCACTTGCAACTCTGGTTTCATCTTCGGCAGCAGCCCTCTGGGCGCCCATCTGCTCCAGCCCTCCTGCTTCCACGGTGGCCTGGACTCTGGCATTTCCCAGTCTGTGACATTCCTGCGTCCTCTCCCAGGGCTGCTGCAATAAACTGCCACGGACTGGGAGGCTTCAAACAACGGAACTTTATCATCGAGGCTCTGGAGGCCGGGGGCCCAAGGTCAAGTGTTGGTGGGGCCGCGCTCCCTCTGGAGCCTCTTCGGAAGAACCATTCTTCCTCACCCCTCCCCCCAGCTCTGGCAGTGGCGGGCGGCCCTGGCTCCCTGAGCTTTTGGAAGCTTCAGTCTAGTCTCAGACTCCATCATCACGTGATCTTCTGCTGTGTGTCCCTGTCCCCAAACCTCCCTCTTCTTATAAGGTCACTGGCGGCTGGATGTGGGGCCCACCCTAAAGCAGAAGGACCTTGCCTTAACCCAATGACATCTGCAAAGCCCTGTGTCTAAATAAGGGTACATTCTGAGGCTGCCGGTGGGCATGGGTTTTCAGGGAACACCCTGTAACCCAGCACAGACACCGGTCTTGGCACCGCAAAGACATCTGCTCTCCGGCTCTGCAGACACTGCTGCATTTTTACCTCGGGACGGTCCCCTCCCACAGTCATCCCGCCCCTGCTTTCCTAAATGACAGCAAAGGATCGCCATCTGCCTGTCATCGGCATTCTGGGGTCTGAGTGGAGCTCACAGCCTTTCAGACACTTGGTTCTCACTGCAGGCTCATGAAATTAACCAGAGAGATTTCACTGTTCTCAATGAACAGGCAGCAAAGCCAAAGGCTCAGAGAGATGAAAGCATCTGCCCAGAGTCACCCAGCTCATACACACAGCGGAAGCCCCTCCTCCAGCTTTATGCCCACTGCCCCCCACATTACCACCACAAGGCCCAAAATCTCCACTTGCGCCCCCAGAGGCACCCGCCCAGGAATCCGGACTTCTGGGACCTTCTGCCACTCCACCACAGCCCCCCAGAGTGGAAACAGCCCTGCCCCCCCAAGGCTCCCACACTGTGCCTGACCGCTGACCGGAAGCCTGGATTATAGTTCAAAAGCAGTTTCCCACTGAGCCGAAGTCGGGCTCCCGGCCGCTGAGGGCTTCGTGGGGCCTCGTGACCTCGGACGGGACCACTGCATCGGGAGTAAAATTCAACCAAGGCGAGCGAATGTGTGTGAAACCACCACCGGCGATGACGATTCTGCTGTTCGTGCCCATCTTTCTAGGCAAAGTCACAAGAAATGTGTGTCTGGCCGGAGGGACTAGGTGGGGCGTTCTGGCCGCAGTAACGCAGCCCACGAAGGTGGAGTGGTCCTGGCAGCTCCCCTCACAACGGGCTCATTTCCTGCCCTGACCAGGATGTCTGCCCTTTGCCTCGTACTGACATTCATTTTCCCACCTTGGGACAATGCTGCCTCCACTTCTTTTCCTTCTTCTGAACTTGACCATGGTGCGTAGTCAGCCAGTGGGCACAGGGTCTGATGTGGTGAGCTGCAGGCCCGGGCCCTGCGCTCCGCCCCCTGCCACACCCTGGCCCATCCCTGCGGGGACCCGGCCCTTCTTGGCCGCACCTGCAGCCCTGGTAGCTGTGCCCTGGAGCACATGTGTCATTAGCCAAATTGTCTCATTCAAATGACCGATGGGCCTGGTATTTGCAGTGCGTGGGTGTGGGGCCTGAAAGGCTCTCAAGTGTTTTTCTCAGGAAGCTGTAGCCAAACGCGGAAGAAGTCAGGGAAGAGGACAGGGGAGCAGATCTGTGACATAACAACCCCGTCAGCTCTGCAGGTCCAAAGGCAGGGGTGGGCGGTGGGGCTGCCGGAGAGAGAGCCGAGTCCTTTGTTTCAGGGAGCTTCAGGGCTCCCTCGACCCTGACTTTGGCCCCAGGAGACAAGCAGAGGCCAGGCTGGTGCACAGATGACATGGGTGAGCTGCTGAAAGGCTCGGCTCCCAAGGGGCCATGCCATAGGGTCGCAGGTGCCTAGCACAGGCAGTCACAGAGGAGAAAGCTAAGGAATGGGGGGCACTGAGACCTCCCTTCTCACCCTGGGTCCTGGCCGGAGGTTGGGCTCCGGAAGAACACTGCAGAGAAGCACAAACCCAAGGGCTGAATAACAGGTGGGAAGAGCCGACAGGGCATGTTATGACCTAGGGCCTGAAGCAGCAGACGGGAGGAGTTGGTCATATAAGCCCAAGGAAGGGGAATGCCCGGGTGCCTAGGGGACAGTGTGACACTAGGCTGTGCCGCCCCTCATGCTGAGTGGCCTCAGGAGAACTACTTAACCTCTCTGGGGCCTAGGCTCTGCCACCTGCAAAACAGGAGTCATGGCAGTCCTCCTATCTCACAGTGCGGACGGGCAAGTCCAGTGGAATCAGGAGGCAGCACATACAAACCTAACAGTCACCGAACAAATCTGATCCCACAGGCCCAGAGCTGAGCGTAGTCTGTGAGGGGGCGCTGGCGCTCAGAGCTGGGGGGTGCGCTAGAGTTCTGCACGGCGGTGGAGCGGGGCCCGAAGAAGGACCTGTCAGGAAAACTGTGCCTTCTGCTGAACCTGAAGTTCAAGTCCACTCCTGCCCCGCCAGCTGGCGGACCTTTGTCAGGCATGAGTGTGGC